TTGATCGTTGTCGCGGTTGAAATCGAGTCTAAATATATGAAATTATAAATAAATAACTCTTTTTGTTAGATAGCTCCCTCTCAAGGTCAAGATATTAATTTAGCTATGAAAAAAATGTTTCTTGACTAAAATCGACCGATTAGCTATTCCGTTTGGAAATTATATATCACAACTACATATTCTGAGATTTTCACGGTCGCACCTACCATTGTACGGCCATAGGCGCTATTTGAAATTTATCAAAATTTACCGGGAGCACCGGTAAATTTTTATATTCCATTTTTCTCGAAAACAAAAGTGTTTTAGGGGCTAATTTGTAGTGCTTATAATACATCCACAGGGGCATCCAAATATATCAAAATTGAAAAGATTCACTATCCACCCAATTTTCAAAATTTCCCAAAACTTTGTATTACCTTTAAACTGTTGTATAAGTTATTTCCTTTCATTTATACATTTATATATATATAATATGTATATATAAATAATATATATACCAATTAGTAATAAGATAATATCAGAATGTCGGAATACCACTCTGGTCCATAACGTTTTGACCTATGACCACGCCACCTCTCACCCCTCTCTTTTTCTCTCTTCTCTCTCTCTCTCTCTCTCTCTCTCTCTCTCTCGCCTCTCGCCTCCCTCGTCTCTCTCTCTCTCTCTCTCTCTTCTCTCTCTCATCTCTCTCTCTCTCATCTCTCTCTCTCTCTCTCTCTCTCTCATCTCTCTCTCTTTCTCTCGCCTCTCTCATCTCTCTCTCTCTCTCTCTCTCCCCCCTCTCATCTCTCTCTCTCTCTCTCTCTCTCTCTCTCTCTCTCTCTCTCATCTCTCTCTCTTTCTCTCGCCTCTCTCATCTCTCTCTCTCTCTCTCTCTCTCTCTCTCTCTCATCTCTCTCTCTTTCTCTCTCTCTCTCTCTCTCTTTCTCATCTCTCTCTCTCTCTCTCTCTCTCTCTCTCTCTCTCTCTCTCGTCTCTCTCTCTTTATCTATAATATATCGGAGATAAGTCCACGTGTTGGCATAAAATGACGTAACAAAACTATGAAGAAGAGAAGACTCATGCATGCAATCCAACGATATTTGAGTAGGTCACGAATTACTTAGGCTTTGCGGGTGGTTACTTTTGAGGTGCTTCTCATGGTATATCGCATGCTTTGTGTATTATTTTGTATTATCATTTTTCTTTTAGTTGATTGTAGCGTGCTCAAACTCTACACCAAGATATTTCTTTGAGCTGTAAAGCGTTTCCAAGGTAATGCGCCTTAATTGATACCTTCATTTAAACTATTTCCGCATTGCTTTGGAAGCGCTATAAAAATCATGAATGCTAATTTTTGTCCTATCCACTTGATACCGACGCTACGTACGTCGAAAATTCGGGACCTAATGAAACCTGTCGGATTTAAAGCATGACACTTCCCCTTTTCTTCATTTTATGCTCCTTGATATCAATAAGTATGCATTGTATATATATATATATATATATATACAATGTATATATACACAGTGCATACTTATAGATAGGATCATGGAATATACACGAGAAGTGAAAGGAGAACATACTGAGAATGGACTGCATAATGATTCCAATAGACCCATAAACTTGAAAATGCCAGTTGCATTTATTAGTCTTATAACATCTGTCTAATAGATTTACACAACAAACGGGTATGAACAAAAGCTCCATTATCCCCGTTAAGAAATTCAACTAAACAAAATGGCTTGAACCGAAATATCTTTTTCTGATCTTATCTTATCTATCATAAGCTACACAATTTTTTGTTACGATAACAGTAATACATTTTTCTTCGGGACAATCATGACAACTATAGATCCTTGAATGAAACTAAGAGGGGAATATAGGCCGCGAGAACGACAGCGCGTGAGATGGACAGCCACCTAATCCGACAGTCAACGATATACAATAAAGTCGGTCTTGCCGGCCTTCTGACAACCTTTTGAAGGATTTATTAGACAGATCGCCCCAAGACCGACAGCCCACTATTCCGTTCTCGAGGTCTTTAAAGGGACTTGGTAACATTGTTAAGATGATAGATAGTGATGCTAAGGTAGTGACTTCAATGCTAGATGTACAATTAAAGATAATATGAAAATTTGAGTGAAAACGGACCATTATTCATGGTACAAATAGAGAAAAACTGATCTGATCGATTCCTTAATTCTCCCAACTATATTATTACAATTTAATTACATTTTAGGTGAATGGAAATAGTCAAAAAGCAAGAAAATGGCTCGACATTCTGTTCCAGACATTTAAGTGTTGTCAGATTTTGTATAGCCTGTTTTATGTCTTTTTTTCATGGAAAAACGGTTGTGAAATTCAAAAATGGTTGGGAGAATTTAATGTTAATCACTGTTAGAGGGTGTCATACATCTTCGTTTTTCAGGATTGTTTGCATGTCAGAAGGTTAGTACAGTAGAAGGAATATAGTGAATAACATTATATACACAAATTAAGCAATTTTTTCATCAACCTTTAACAATGTTACCAAGTCACTTTCAAGCCACTTTAGGGTTCACTAGACTCGATGGGCCAGGAGACCAACAGCCGTCAAGACCGACATGTTCCTATCTTCTTTTGTTTATTTCTATGTTTTGTCGGTCTCGTGGGCTGTCGGTCTACTGCGATGACCTTCAAAATAATAATTCGTTGCAATTATAATTACTTACATTAAATGTAAAAGAGAAACCCCAAAACCTTAGCTTAAGGTAAATGTACAGTATACATTAAAAATAAGTATCTAAAATACGTATAGTTCATTTTTAAGCATATGCAATCTATAAAATATAACACAGCAAATGAATTTGACTCTATTAGTTCATATTACGGGCCTTTAAATTCAGTGATATACTCATCATCTGTTTGCAGTACTCAATAAAAATGCACTAATTGAAAATGAAAATAACCGTACAGAGGCAACCTTGATCAATATCTCCGTCGCACATGAAATGCAAAAGGCTGTCATTTTTTAGAAAGTAGGGGTAGTAAATTAATAATAGTTATGGTGATGCTGCTCATTGCCTTTTAGAGCTACAATATAACATTGAGTCTTTTAATTAAAGGTAAATTGTCTTTCATTTCCAATGATCGTGCAGCTGAGAATGTTTCCTTATTTGCTGACAATTTAGTGTTTTAAATTCCATAAATAGAATTTTTTCGTATAATCGATGGAAAAAAAAGAACGTATTATAAAATGTACACACAATGCTTTATTCATCATCATATATATATATTTAATTTGATTTGATTTGATCTGATTTGATTTGATTTATTTACCAACAGCAACAGCAATACATTTCATACAATAATTTACATATACAGGAAGAGAAACTATTGGTTGGTAAAAGGGGCCAGAAAATAGCACATGTGCTAGTCGAGCCTTACCCCTTAAACAAAATAACAAAGTATTTTGGTACAAATCAGTTTAAAGAACGTAACAAAACGAAAAATAATGAATTTACTTTTACAATCGATACTTAAAAAAAGAAGGAAAAAAAAAGAATCAGTACTCAACGATGTCTTACAATATACAAACTAATAGTGTAAAATATGAATTATGAACTGTGTACATATGAGATTTGTATATATATATATATACATGACAAGATCTACCACTACACTTCACTACACGATTTCACCTAAAAATGGTACAAAATAATGAATATTCATCTCAATGCATTCAGCAACGAAAAGTACGATCAGCAAAATAAGGGAGGACGTTGTACATGATCAAATGAAGAATAAAAAGAAACAAGAAATGTAGAGGAATTAAAAACAAGTAATGTTTTTCTAATTCAAAAAAGGGAGGAGAGGAACAATAGAGGTAGAGAAGAGAAGCAAGGAAGGGGAAGAATGAGAGAGAGGAGACAGTGAATTTGATAGGGAAGGAGAGACAGAGAAGCAAGTAGAGAAATAAAGAGAGAGAGAGAGAGGGAGAAGCAGAAGGGGATATAGAAAAAGGAAAATAAAAAAAAATAGGGACAAAAAGGGAAAGGAAGAACATACATGAACAAGGAGGACTGAAATAACTGTCTATTATATCATATGTTTTTGTAATAGATAACACCATTGTGTGAACGATTCATTCATGTATTTTTTAAAAAATAGTCATCGAAATTTCATTAACAATGTGGTATAAGTGATATAAGAAGCAAATATTAATCTTGAAGTGGCGTGTTCAAGGTTCTCTACTCGTCAATGTCTACAAATTTGATGAGATGTTAATGATTTTTCATCACCAGTTTGCATTACCTTGTGAATAAATTTAAACGGAATCAGTGTGAAAGCTTCCTAAATATTTGAAATGCTTAATGGCTTTACCATAACAATGGTCAACTAACCCCCGACAAAACAAACAATCAAATAGATAAAAACAAAAACAACCAAATAACAATAAAACAAATGAACGAAACATAACAGAAATAATGATAAACACTTGTTATAAAATGTTAGTATTTTCTTGTAATTCAGATATGGCTGGTAATGCACGATGAAAATTATGATGAAAGTTCAGTAAAGTACATGATACTTCATTTTAAGTCATTGCATTGATAAAAAGAACATATAATTACATTACTGACCAACTTGTTTCTTACTTAGCAATGAGCGAGACATTCCATAAGCAACAACACATGCTATTGACATGCACAGAATGGCGTAAGAAAAAAGGGTAACAAGTATGTTAGCCCAATCTATAGAATACATATTCACTATTTTACAAAGATGGATGGAGTACAACAACTATGAATCAAAGTGATAAAATTGAAGGGAAAAAAGAAAGAAAGGTAAAACCATGTTGAAACAGAGACATGTAGGGGTATATGCAATGGAAAACTTCCCCTCAAATTAGTAGTCAACCCTTAACAAAAAGAATGTTAACCCCCCACCCCCCCCCCCCCCCCCTCAGCATGGTGGGGGAAAAAGAATAGAATATTCCGGGCTCTCCTCGCAAATTAGTGTTTAAAGTATAAAAATAATATTGGTGCAAACATTTATTCCACCCCTGATGTGATGACTACCATGATGAATTAATAAAATCTACGTTCCTTTAAATATTATGAAGAAATTTGTATCCCGAGTTGTTACTGGGCCTGGGAAGGGTGACGATAATATGACCGTTGTTTGACTATGACATGACCACGGTAAAGTTGATAATTAGCAGGGGTGAGTTCACCGAGAAAGAACTGGAGTATCTGGCCTGAAAACGGTTCTGGAATTCCACCACTTGCATGCTTCCAGAATGTATTATTCTCAAAAGCAGCTAGTAACTACAACAAAAATGATAATTGAAAGTTCATGAAGTAAATTGGGTGGATTATATTGTACACAAAGGTTTGATTGGACTTCAGCTCTTGTTCATACTGCATGCAGGCAGAATATATTATTTTCATATGTATGTAACTACAACGAAAAAGAACTACTGTAAATTAGTGCATGGTTACATTTCATTTGCAATCACACACGCAAAGCTTTAGACAGAAAAGTTTGTATTGACAACGGCTCTCGCAATGTTCCATGTAGAGAGATTATATACATAAAGGTTAATTTGGACTTCAGCTCTTGTCATCTTCATAATGACAATTAGTACATTTCATTTGCATTCACAATCACACACATAAAGCTTTATGCACAAAGGGTTGGCGCATCTACGTACTACAAACAAAAGGATGCATACATTGATAAATTATCCACAATTACACGAAAAGCAAGGGACACAAAGGCGTGGAATGACTATGAATCTTGCAATGTGCATTCGGCATGCAGATAGATTGCTTTATTTCTAAAGTTATCAAATAACTACAACGAAAGGGAATTGGTTCACAGATTTCTAAACTTCAATATCTCATATTTTTCATGAGGACCTTGCGTAAACGTCACATTGAATGAGTAGAAGCTATACCAAAATTATGCTCCTCCAACGGAATTGAGCAAAATTCTCTTTCAATTTAATAAAATGACGTGTAGATGACGTCATGTGGTAGAATTATATAGGTCATCATTGCATAGGTCAAACAGACGTCGTATTTGATTCTTTATCTGTGCCAAGTCAAGAAACACTTATCCCATCGATATATTGATCAATATGTGATACATGTATTTCCGTAATGAAAATTGCATGTTTTTACTAGATTTCAAATGAAAAAAGGAAAATAAATTTCTTGTATTCCTTTGCGAAACTTTAATATGAAATGTCCAAAGAGCATCTCCGTTTGAAAAAGAAAATGTATGCAATTCGCATCCTGAGTTTTGAATTACAGGTGAATGATATAATTTGTAACGAGGCACTAAACAAAGATTCTTTCATTAAATTTGATTAAATAACGAAAATCGTCAATTGAATCATAAAGTATTTGTAAATATATATATCAAAATTTGAGTTCTAAAATGCCCATAAGACTCTTCGCGAGCATATGAACGACAAAAACAACAAAAATAAAATCAACACAGAAAGGAGCGGATTTGCATGCAACACATGACCTTGACTCGGTTGTTTTCGAAAACAAACAGACATGCTGGGATTTGGTTGGTTTAAATTTGGTGGAAGAACAAGCGCTCAACAAATGATTTGATGTACTCACCTGTCACCGTAACAGTAAATGAACATGAGTGTTGGTTTGATGTACTCACCTGCCACCGTAACAGTAAATGGACATGAGTGTTGGTTTGATGTACTCCCCTGTCACCGTAACAGTAAATGAACATGAGTGTTGGTGTGACGTACTCACCTGTCACCGTAACAGTAAACGAACATGAGTGTTGGTTTGATGTACTCACCTGTCACCGTAACAGTAAATGAACATGAGTGTTGGTTTGATGTACTTACCTGTCACCGTAACAGTAAATGAACATGAGTGTTGGTTTGATGTACTTACCTGTCACCGTTACAGTAAATGAACATGAGTGTTGGTTTGATGTACTTACTTGTCACCGTGAAAGTAAATGAACATGAGTGTTGGTTTGATGTACTCACCTGTCACCGTAACAGTAAATGAACATGAGTGTTGGTTTGATGTACTTACCTGTCACCGTAACAGTAAATGAACATGAGTGTTCGTTTGATGAACTGTCTGTGGCTGTGACAGTGACTGTCGTTGGACCCAGAGGAAAAACAGAACCTGGCCCTAGAGGCTCATAGGTCAACGCTGGTGCAGGATCAACATTGTCTGTGACATCCACCGGGAATGATACAGTGAGTGTATCGGAGGTGAAGTCAGCTGGGCATTCGACCACAGGATTTACATTATCTGACAACAAAATTATAAAATGTAAAGTTACCTACATCTTTGAAAAACTACGTTGATTCATATTTCTTGTGTATTTTTTTTTAACTAGTAATTTCTCAGATATTTAGTGAAAACAAAATATGTTTGGGGATGCAGGAAGAGGTTTGAAAGGCTTCAACCCCGAACAAAATAGTATACAAATGTGACAAGATGCATAATCATAAAGCAAAATTTCAGGAAAAAACATGCATCGAAGAAAAAGTTAAGAAGGTAAATATGACAAAAACACAAAATCCAATTTGATAGCATGCACATACATCAACATATCAATAATAAGTAAACAAACGTTAAAGTGGTGGCAACGACAATATTCTAAATAGATTATTTAAGAGTTGGTTGTAAAATTGCACGTAGGTGTCATTGTCAGGTAATTTTTTGTCAGACAATTTACTAGTAGATCAATAAATAACTGAGTATACTCATGCAATCATGACAATGTGGGAGAAAATAGTTGTATTATTTCAACAAGAAGAATCATTTACTCTTATATCAAAATATCCTAAGTATGAAGATAGATCTTTAGTGAGGTTTGGGAAGCTGAGAGAATTGGGCTCTTTATTACTTTGCACGGGAGCATGATCCGATCGTTGATAGGTCTTACATAAAATGAGTTCTTGTAGTAATCGGGTTTAGCGTAAGGTATGAATTGGAATTTTATTAGTAAACTTCATTCATATACATAAACATTTTGTTTCAAAATACATAAATAAAAAAAAAATATATATATAAGAAATTCAACAAGTGATATAGTTTCTCGAGTAATCACAAATTAACATAAAACAATGTAGCTTGTATATACAGTGGTAAATGATATTATAACAAATTAATTATACGACACGTACCAGCCTATGTTTGACAATAAAGATACATAACAAATGGGAATGATAATTTCGATATTGATTTTCTAAAAGAACGGATGGAATGTTGAAATTCCCCTCGAGTATTTATGATTGTTTTAATATACTTACAGAAGTACTCCATTATATTTTCATTCTCCAGTTTCATAATGCTTACAAATTTCTCTTCATCGCTAAGATCTTTAAACTGTCCAGATATTTCAGCCATTTTTTGGAGAAATACCCTCCTTTCAGCCTTATATACAGTACAATCCATTATGGTATGACATTTATCGCCAACCCTTCCCAAGTTACAGTCATTACAAGTTCTTAAATGTGAAGGTATTTTTTCCGGACGTCTATCGGTAGGTTATGTGAACTAATTCTAAATCAGCAGATATTTGTTCGTAGTTTACGGTTTTTAACGGTTAATAAATATTTCTTTGTTTGTATACTCTGCTTAAATAGATTTTATGTTCTCAATTTATTTTGTTCATTGCCATTTACACAATCACTACATAGATCCATCAATAACTGTCGGTGGTAACTTCCATTTAGGTTTCTATTTCTTTTCCAACTACTCTATCACTATCGGTAATATCATCCAGTTCTAAACAACCATCATTTTCATCCACAAATAATTTAAATCCCGTGAGAAGCTAGTGCATATTTCCTAGCCAGCATTCACAATTATGTTCAGTCATCTTTTTGTTTTCTTGGAGAGAGTGGTAGAATAATGTATCAGTACTTATATTTCTCATTCGTGCATAATTTTTCGACACATTTGTATAATTAAAGGGTACGATCCATCTTCGCATAGTATTACCAGATGGCTGCTTTTTTATTAACACCTAAAACATTTCTCAACCATTGGAAGTGAACACTCTGTATTTCATTTCTTAAATAAGTTTTGGGGTTACCTTTTACAAGTTTCGCTAACTTGTCAAAGTTGACGGTAAAAGCGCCCCACATATACCTCTGATCCATACATAAGTATTGGTTTTATCAAAGAGTCAAATAATCGTGTTGCTATTTTTATATTAGGGAGGTGATATCCGAATGATTGGAATAATTTTAAAAAAACTCTCTTTGATTTATCTGCTAGATTAACCCTCGTGTCCTTGAATGTAACAAAATTATTAAATACAGGACCTAAATATGTTGCCTGTTTAACAATTTCAATGTTTTTACCAGTCACCTTGAAATTCTGTTCTTTCAAAATCTTTACGTTCTTGTTACAAATAATCATTTTCGTTTTGTCTATATTAACATTCAGCAGCCATTTATTACACATCAAGTCTATCTAACAATGTTTGCCTTCCACTTCTTGACTTTGATACCAATACAATGTCATCTGCATACATTAAACAGTTCACTAACTTTCCATTCAATTCCACGGGATGAGTATCAATAGTTCCCAACTCACGCGACAGGTCATTTAGATATAGGTTAAACAGACTGGGACTTATACAGCCTTGTTTTAAATCACTACTGGTTTTAAAATACTGGGTAATCCCTTCATTGAGCTTTACACTCAGTTTTAGGTTTTTATACATGTTAGTAATAATTTCGTAATCTGGCCTCAGATTCCACATGTCAACATTTTATAAAACAATCCTTTCCTCCAAACACTATCAAAGGCTTTCCGCAGATCGACAAAGCACAAGTAGACATGACTCTTTTCACAAGCCTTGTTTGTTCTCACGTATTTGTCAATCATGGTTTTAAGTGTAAATATATGGTATGTTGTTCTCTTGCCTTCCCTGAAGCCTATTTGATTCTGGACATATAAATCGTTATCTATTAGGTATTTGACCAAACGTCTGTTTGAAATACTGCAAAATAACTTTCCAACTGAGCTCGAGAGACATATACCTCGATAGTTGGCTGGGTTGGTTTTACAACCTCCTTTACTCAATGGAGTTATATAGCTTTCAGACCACTTTGGGGGAAACTATGTACCTTCATGTTGTTATATATGCTAAAGGTGTGGCCCTGGGCCACTAAATCTACCAGTTATTTATGATTTTTACTAAATTTCTAGATTTTTTTTCTTCTCGTGGATTTAGCTCCTTTCGGAATGAAACAGATCTAGCTCCGTTTGGAATAAAACAGGGATACGTTTTTTACTTTCTTTTATTTTTTTTTTTTTTAGTGATGATTTCACTATCATTACTTAAGAGGAAAGGTTTGCTACTAGATTTAAATAAATTTCAGTGACTTTATTGAAGAAAGAAAAAAAATTGTTTATACACACATTATCCTATCACGCAACCTGTTAACTTTTGAGAATATTCTCTCTCACCATTTTTAAGCACAAAGATCACTTCTTGCAGAACCTTAGATAAATGTAACAATTAGACAAAAATGTTATGATTCAAAGTTTTCATTTGAGAACCAATAATCATCATGACTCAAGAGTAAAAAGCACTATCAATGTTTAAACAAAATCAAAAGTGCTTTGAGAGTGGATATACAGTGATCTCTTTTCTCTTCTTCTAAAATGAATAAAATAATTTCAGTTGCACCAGGCAAGTATATAAAAAAATATATATAAATAGCGTAAAGAGATTTTGTAAATTTGTGCAGACTTGACTGAATAAATTGTTAAATATTGATATCTGTGTTTGATGATTAAAAGAATAAATAAAAACCTAAGATTATAACGGTTTTGAAATAGATGACGTTATCAAGATAATAATGACCAAATACCAATGTTTATAAAACCATAATGGAGTACACTTTAGTATAACACTGCAGTCTATGGGGGAAACAGTCTCGCATTTCTGGTTATTTAGATGTTTCTTCCTTTGATGAAGCACATAATGATGCTTTTTGAGGTGCATTTTCATTGATTCATTTTTTTACATAATATTATCTAAGCTTCTGCTTTATTTTTGGAGCAACGACGATCACAAGCAGAATCTTTTGGATTTGGATTTAGCTCCTTTGGGAATGAAACGTGATATTGTTCCTCGAATTGTTCATACTTCCTGGTTAAATTTTAGAATGTGCATTTTGTTCCTATGTAGGAAATAATTATTTTAAGACTTTGAAAAAATGAAGACAAAAAAAATATGTATATATATTTTGATAAAATATGGATTAAGCTCCTTTTGGAATCAAGCTCTTCAATTATTTATACATTCTTGTAATAAGTTGTTTATTTCTTGTTATCTAAAGCGCCTAGAAACGATATCATGTCAAGTACTATATCATAACAACTGTACGGACTGGCGATGCAGCTGCTATCGTGTGCAGATATTATGTTCTGTACATAAAGGTTTAATTATCATATGAGAGAGAGAGAGAGAGTTTACTTAGAATTTAATTTTACACGTAAAACAGCCAAACAGCAATATATTAAGGTCACTCACCTGTCACCGTAACAGTAAATGTGCATGAGTCTCCGTTACCATATCTGTCTATGGCTGTGACAGTGACTGTCGTTGGACCCAGAGGGAAGGTAGAACCTGGCCCTAGAGGCTCATAGGTCAACTCTGGTGCAGGGTCAGCATTGTCTGTGGCATCCGCTGAGAATGATACAGTGAGTGTATCGGAGGTGAAGTCAGCTGGGCATACGACCTCAGGTTTCTGATAATCTGACAACAATAATAAAATGCAAAGTTTGTAAACTACGTTGATTTGTATTTCATGTATATTTGTATTTGTGGGGATGCTGGACAAAGTTTGAACAAAGGGCTGCATCCCCGAAAATAATGATAAAGGAAACAAATATGACAAGATACGTTATAATAAAACAAGATTTGAAACATGTGACGGTTAACAACAAGTATAGTGATGGTTATTTGTACCTGACAGGTAAGAAATCATAAATGCTTGCGAGTAAGCAACAAGACGGCCGACGGTTTTAGGTCCTCTCCGAGGGACATGGTAGTGAGGATTAATGCCTTACCTAAGAACCTATTAAGTGCATTGACTTGATTTCGAACCCGGGTCACCGGATTACGAGACCATTGCTCTACCGACTGAGCTATTGCGCCTCCAAAGAAATACTTCAATGAAAGGTAAAATTTACAATAGAAAAACTGAAGTATTGGGCAGTGGCAGACTTTTCCATTGGGAGTTCGATGAGTTTCTCCCCTCCAGGCCACTTGCGGATATCTATCAATGGGTTGGTCAGGGGATTCTTTTTTCATCTAAATTCCCTCAACCAAATGTCAGTCCCAGACTGGCCTTAGAAATGAGGTCCACTAAGCCCCTGTCACACGAAAACGGTTTTCGAGGCCATGACCACCCATGTCATATTCTTGTACATGTACGTTCTCTTTCCATAGGTTTAAGATACTATGTCCCTTTTGCAGCCAACATCAAATTCTGTAGAATTTTGCAAGAATTATGAATATGTCATGTATGTCGTATTCTGTAAAATTTAAACGTTAGCAGTGTCCTAATATTCAAATTATGCAAGGAAATCTGTTTACTTGCTAGACTTCACTATCAGACAATATTGCGTGAGCGACTGGCTTTTTTCTTCTGTGGTAATAACATCCATTACATGAGCTGTAAAGGGTACATGAGCATTTGTCTACATCACTAACACACTTCTTGTTATGGCCAAAATTAAACTGATTGAATCTTTGCACATCATCAAACGTATGACCATTCGGTACAAAGGTCTGAACATCAGACTATTACTTACTGGCTCTATAGCTCTTAAGTCGATTCGACAACTAATAGTCATTATTTTCCCACTTAAAGGGAAGTTCTTATTTAGTATTATCTTTCAAATGCCGTTGGAATTTAACCTTTTTTTGTTTGGGGGGGGGGGGGGGGGGGGCCTGCAAATGGGACATAGTACCTTTAAACCAGTTACAAGTACCATCGCTATCTGACGTTCGTGGAGATAATTGCCAGGTCCGCCACTCTATAGTACGTGGATAAAGTCGTGTTATACCTCCCTTCTATTCTCTTGAAGACATTCGTCTGTGTCCATGTGCATCGCGTCATAGCTTGCAAACATATTTATCAGTTCACTATCGTTAAGACCTGCCCTTCGTCAAAGGTGATTGATAACACCCGATATCGTGTAAATAGCCGAAGGGTGTAAATTAAACATAGAAACACACGACTATACGTGTCTCCAAAGTGACTCGGTAACATTGTTGAAGGTTGATGAAAAAACATTTGATACAAAAATTACTTATTAAATTCCTTCTACTGTACTAACCCCCTAACAGGCAAAACATCCTGAGAAAATCCTCGAACCACGAAAGTATGTATGATTTTCTTTGAAGGCATCACTGTGCAACAGCCTCTAATAGTGATTTACAGTAAATTCTCCAAACCATTTTTGAATTTTCCCAACCGTTTTGCCTTCAAAATAAGACATGAGACAGGCTTTTAAAATTATTTCAACACTTAAATGTCTGGAATTGAATAAAGAGCCAATTCATTGCTGTGTGACTATTTACATTCACCTAAAATGTAATTAAATTGTAATAATATAGCTGGGAGAATTAAGGAATTGATCAAAACAGTTTTTCCAAAATATTATCATTAATAATGGTGCACTCAAACTTTCAGATTAGCCATAATTGTACATCTAGCATTGAAGTCACTACCTTAGCACCATTTTCTCTCATTTTAACACCAAGAACCAGAAAAATAAAAACGACCTCACAAAAATTTGCTGGAAATCATCTTCAATAAAAACCACAACTCTCATTTGCACATAATTGTCCTGTGTTATAAGCAAATGGTTTCTGGCCTACTTCCTTACATTGTATGCTCCTTTCTCAGCCCTTATACGTTTTCTACCGAAATCGTGTGGCGCATGTCATTTGTTTGTTGGATTTTGTTATCACTACCAGTACTCAAGTTTATCTTTACATGTACTACATTGTATGTCTCATTTGCAGGCCAAAAAATGAAAAGGTTAAATTCCAACGGCATTTGAAAGACAATACGTATTTAGAACTGCCGTCAAAACGAAAGGGCTTGAAAATGGCTTTTAGTGGGAAAATAACGAGCATTATTTGTCGAATCGACTTAAGTCATTGCAATCACCTAAGTAATTGTCAGACCCTTTTACCGAATGGTCGTACGTTTTGTGCTGCACAAAGATTCAATCAGTTTAATTTTGGCCATTACAAGTAGTGGGTTATTTATGTAAACAAATGCCCATGTATCTGTTACAGCTCATTTTATGTATGTTATTACCGAAGAAAACAAGTTGTCAGTCAGTCACTCAAAAGTGTCTGACAGTGAAGTCTAGAAGGTAAACGGGTTTCCTGCATAATTTGAATACTAGGACACTGCTAATATTCAATTTTTACAGATAGGACATAGCCTACGTGACATATTCATAAATCTTGTAAATTTTTACAGAACTTGACGTTGGCTGCAAAAGGGACATAATATCTTTACAGGGCAAGTCCACTCAAAACTATCTAACTATCAATAGAAGCAGAAAAAATCAGACAAACCCATCAAAACAAGTTTGGGCAAAGTCGGAAAACTAATAAGAAAATTTTGAATTTGTAATTTCATGACGAACGTTGAAAATCTCACGCGAACCCATGACTACGTGTCTAGTGTGTTGCATTCCCGTATGTATGTTTTTAGGGACCCGATGGGAGACCAACTGATGTTGAATGGGCTACCCCGTACGAATAAATAAATAAATTAAAAAATAAAAAATATAAGAGGCCTATTACCTTTCGCTCACGAGGCCATATTACTGCTTTAATACCTACGTAAATAAAAAAAAACCTACCTGTAATAATCAAGTATGAGAAAGCAATCAGCCCAACCGCAACAAACTTAGCATTGTGTGTACTCTTCAATGTGCAGGTGTGATATCACCCTCACGCAGCGCGTCAAGGACCGCACTGGTAACGCATGCAGTCTTACCTCAGGCAAATGCCCGGTACGCGTATGCATGCTCCCTCCTTTTGAAAACACCCCCCTAAGTCCGGTGTGTAAAGTCAATACGGGCCGGATTTTTGTGCACTGCGAGCTGGACTTTGGTGCGTGAAAAGTACCCCTTTACCGGTCATTTTGGGAACACGCATGCGGTCCCTTTGACCCCGGAGTGGGCGCCTCGATCGTGTGCAAGGGGAATGACCATGCATGCACTCAACAATAATTACCTCTAACATCGACGCCTACAGCGCATTCGTAGCTTAGCTGTGTGTCGCTGATCCTGGTGGTCAAAGTATGACTTGGTTCGACCGGGAACATGAATGGTGGTCCAGTCAGTGGTGGATTGGTTGAAAATTCAACAGTAGGCATTCCGCTGGATCCATGGTAGTAATACATGCCTCGTGTTTGGACCTGTTCGGGTCTGTACAAATTTGAAGGGTTGACCGTAGATGTGGCTGCGTCGTTATCAGTGGATACACTTATGAAGGAGGACTCCTCCCAAAGGCAATTGATGACTGGTAACTCAACGACTGTTGGAAAAGTATAAAGGTTCCATGTACCAAACTGCTAAATATATTCAGAAAATCCAAATGTTAGGCCAAATTTAAAAAAAAATGTTTAGCGTCCTACTTTTTTCAAAAATAGGAAGGAGGAGGCCCCTTTTTTTATCTTCTTCAAAATGGCCGGTCAAAATGGCCGCTTGGTACATTTTCCCTGACAGTTGGGCTATTTTTCAAGATGGCCGCCGGCATTAAAAAAAAAAAAAAAAAAATCAGAAATAGATTCATTTTAGCAGTGTTTTTCATCCAAAAAAAAAAAAAAATCGAGGTGGCCCCCCCAAAAGGAAGCGGGCGGGGACGCTAAACATGTATATTTTTTTAATGGCCTTACTATTTGAATGAATAAATTGGACTTTTTCCAATATAACGAGAACTATTTTACAGTTTGAAGAAAGATAACAAAAGTCTAGGAGGTTCCACCTAAACCTACAGGACAATGCATATTTTCTTTTTATCTTGAACAAACGAAATCTCATCTCAGGTTTAAAACGTAAAACAAAGGAACATCGTACACCATGCAGTGGCCGGAGCTACACCTTCGTTGCGTGCCGTATAGACAGATGAACGGCATTCAACCATGTGGTAACATCGAGAGAAAACTGCCTGCGTACAGAAAGGGTTTTTACACACAAGGCTTATTACATTGCCTCTAATAGAGCCAGCTGATTGTCCAATAAATCATGTCAAAGTATTTTGTAAACATCTGAATTTGTTTCATAGATTTTAAAATATTTTTCGAAATATTTGTTTTTCAAACTTGCTAAGCTCCACCCCAAAACCTCCAGATCTCATTCCCCTTGTGACATCATCTGACTGCACACCAACAGGAATACACTTGTATTTCGAAGTCATGGGCCCTTTAATGAACGCCTCGTGTGTAACGGGTTTACATTCATGGTTAGCAGAAACTGTTTCTTACGTGTATTGATGATTAGGATTTCACATGTCGAAGGATTACCGCAGACATCCCTAACAGTGACGGTTAGCGTGGTGGGACCGGGAGGAAAGAGGAAGCCACCTGCATCAGGGGCACCCACGCTTGGCTCGTACTCTATCGCTCCATCAATACCATTTTCATCAGTGGCGTTGAATTGGCCGGAAGCCATGGTCACCCCATAAAAGGTGTTTGGTGTGGCGGAGCCTAGCTCGATACTAGGCACACACCAAAGCTCGGGTCCATCAGTATCTGTGAGGATAAAACAAAATGAAAGTATTCTTGAGATAAAAATAATTAAAACAAAAGCCAACACAACTTTGACAAAATGTACACCATATATGTGGCTTTTGGCTTACCAATTATGAAAGAAAGTTTTATGAGTAGTGAGCGAAATAAACCAGGTAATCAATACAAATGTCAAGACCATAGTGGTGTATGCCCCCCCCCCCCCTCTCGGTGTTATTTAGGACATGTTCCCTCCCTTTGATAGCATCCCCTAAGTCCAGTGTGTTAAGTAAATACGGGGCCGATGTTTTGTGTATTACGAGACGGACTTTGTTGCGTGAAAAGTTCTCCTTTTATCTGATCTCATTGTTCACCAATAAACTTCTACTTTTGTGAACCACCATAAACATATTATAGTTTCTAAAATGCATGTATAAACAGGATAACATTGTGTCCATCAATTATGATGTCATTTTCTATTTTCCATTCCTATATTCTGAATTTATCTGAGTGCAACAAGTATGATAAGGGCGATTCGAATACGCTATCGAAGTATCCCATATATTATGTACGGATTAAGTTATATACCATATGTGACTGGCAAGGCTAGTTAACCTGCTTCATATTAGATTGTATTTGCGAGCTAGCGTATCATCATTTTTCGCCGATCTTACCTGCCACTCTATTTGGCATCATGCTGTGTATTAATTTGTGAATGACACCCCCCCCCCCACCCTCATTTGAAAACTTGGGACAAACATACATGTAGTGTGACCCCTATGCGTGTTATTCATGAGGGCTGACTTAACTTTTACCTGATTAAAAGACATTTTTTAGTATACTGGTCATGAGATCATCGTGTTACAGGTACTGTCAAGAAGTTTATTTGGGAAATTTGGTCAAAGAGTAGATAGGAATATTGACAAGTCAGCTTGAGTAGGCGCACTGGTCCTGTCATAACATTGCTACATAAACTGTCTAGAAGTTCTTGAGGGGGGGGGGGGGGGGGGGTTCATCATGAGAGCAAATAGGAAGAGGGACTTGTGAATTATAGATAGAAATATTAAAGGTAAGATTTAGTATTTGTCATGTGATTGCAGTGCTAAAGAAATGTTTGGGAAGAATAAGGATAATAGAGCGTATAGAACTATTTGTGCAATTTTCGGTGTTGAACCATTAAAATGATGACACATAGACTTATTCTAAATGAATCGCAACCTTCCCCCACCCAGTGGCGGATCCAGGGGGGGGGGGGGCTGCACCCACCACCATTTATCATCAGAAGCAGGCGCGGATCCAGGATTTCTTAGGGGAGGGGGCCCAACTTATTTTTTTTTTGCTCCCGAAAATTTGAAAATCGTGCCGGCCGAAAGTCGCTCTCGGGGGGGGGGGGGGGGGGGGGGGGGGGGGGGGGGGGGTAGTGAGCACATTTTTTTTTTGGGGGGGGGGGGTCCTCGAAAATTTAAAAATTTGCACCCCCCCCCCTTGAGCGCCAGGGGGGGGGGGCAACCCCCTAAAAAGGTAAAAATCACGTGTTTTGGCATGAATTTTTTTCTCAAGGGGGGGGGGGGCCGGCCCCCCGGCCCCCCCCTGGATCCGCCACTGATCAGATGAACGACTTTATCTTTTATTTTAGATAATGCTGAATGAAAGTCAACACTCTCCCTGTATAAAGGGACGATAAATAGAAGTTTGGGGAAAACCTTGCCGGAAGATGTAGAGTAATATTTATTTAAAGGCAGGCTTTACTACTTCAACTAGAAGGGATTAGACCACCCAGCGAGCCAGCGAGGTCACTGTGACAGGTGGCTATCTCATTAACTCAGCTCTCATTTAACATAAGAAAAAGAGGATCATGGGGGACCAACAGGCACCGATTGGGGAAGTTTTCTATTTAGAGGGAGCAAGTAGCTACAAGTATAGGACAGTGTGCCTTTAAACTGTCCGTACTAGGTGACGATTGATATCGCTTTCACAGATGAAAAAAAGAAAACGTAGTATCCTGTTTTTACTACCATTAAGCATAACCAAGTTACCCTATAAAGCTAGCAATATAGGTTTCGAATTTGCAAATTAATAAATGAATAAAGGAATGAATAAATAAATGAATAAATTAATGAATAAATGAATAAATGATTATATGAATAATGAATAAAGAAAACAAATGAGTAAATCAATAATGATGAAAATAATAACAATAATAATAACGATGCTGATAATAATTAATGGTCCATTTATGTAGCCATAATAATGCGATGAAGTATCCAAGGAATTTCTTCCTACCGGGTACCAATTCACTTCACCCGGGTGGAGAGTGTCATATGTAGATTAATGTCTTGCCAAAGTGCCGAGGCGGGACTGGAACCGGGAACCATATGACCCACATTAATTATGATAATAAATACAAGTTAATAATGATGAAGTATGAATTGAAAGTTGTGGGGTAAGCAATTTGCAAATAAGATAACTGTGTCTCAAACAGTAAACATTTTTTTTTAATAACAGGTTGTTACTATACTTCCTTAATATTTCTACTACCGTCTGCGTTTTTTCATTTTTTTAATACTCGTTGTGATACACTTTTATCCAACTTACCAAAGATTTTTAGGTGCGCCATTCAATTTTGACAATGTACTTTTGTTCATCTTATTTATACTATTCATAGTGTTGCAATGATGCATACTTTTATCTTTTTATCGCCAATTCGTTTGTAATATTTAATCGTTGGCAAGATTCCCCTTTCTCCCCCCCCCCCTTTTTTTAACCTCTTGTCTCTCACTCTTTCTTCCCTCTCTCTTTTTCGCTCTTTCTCATTTTCTATATCTTTCCTGCTTTTTCTCTTTCTTCACTATATCCCTTGGTTTCTTATCTTCTCTTTCTCTTTTTCTCACTTTCATTCCCTCTATCTCTCTCTCTCTCTCTCTGTCTTTCTGTTTTTCTCTCACTGACTTTCTTTCTCTTTTTAACCGCTTTCCTGTACACTTTCCCTTCTCTCTTCCTCACTTTCATATTTTGTTCAGGTACATATTCCCCGTTTTCTTCTTGCTCTTTTTTTTGTTGCTTTTATTTTACATTTTGTACAAAATTAAGGATAAACACATGATATATACTTGTACTTATAATTATGTATATGATACTGTTTCAAAAAGTATACTTTTTGTTAATGCAATGAATATCCATGTGCAATTCAATATATGCAACTGCGATGCATAAGTCAATAAATACCATATCACGTAGAGTTGCGTAGTGTTGCGTACCGACTACGCCGAAGTTAAGCTGCGTACTAATGAATAAATTGATGCTTCGGCGTAGTCCCTGCGTAGGTTATGCGTAGGCTTGCGTAGGATGGCGTATAGTTACGTACCCTGTGCGTAGGCACCGCGTACTTATAGCGTAGGCAATTGGCGTAGGGTTACGTACGCTTGCGTAGGCCTGGCGTAGGGTTACGTACGCTTGCGTAGGTCTGGCCTAGGGTTGCTTACTGTGTGCGAAAGTGCCATGTAAAAATGCAATAGACGCTCGTAGGAGCCGCGAGTGTAGCCATTGGCGCTTTATAAACCTAGTTTTCTGCCCTCAATCCACTGCTGCCTGCTGCCCAGAACACATCACTGCTGGTTGAATTACAGATGACTGATGTAATAACACATGCAGAAAAAGATCATGAGTTTTTTGGGCCCTCGGCAAAACGGTACAATACTCCAGCATCTGGATGCCCTGGAAAGACTAATTAGTCATGTGGCAGAACATGAACGCTTGGGAGAAGAACAAGAACAGAGAAGGAAAGAAGCTAGAAGAAGAAGAAGAAGAAGAAGAAGGAGAAGTGTGTGGGTAAATCCTTGGATCCAGCGCAGAACGCTGAGGATGTTTCGGCATTTACACATTTCATGCGGATGGGACCACAGTATTTCCATGAACTTCTGACACATATTGCACCGAGGATTACCAAACGAGATACTAACTACAGAAAGTCTCTGGAACCTTGTTTAAAGATGGATGTCACCTTGATGTTTCTGGCCACCGGCAAGGCAAGGCACTTCAATATGGATTCCGAGTTGCCCATAACACTATTTCTGTGTTTATCCCACAAGTGTGCCAGGCAATAATCGATGAATTATCTGACGAAGTTCTCATGTGGCCAGATACTCCAGGGGGTGGAAACAAGTGGCCTCGACCACAACCCTTGCCCTTCTTTCCTGGCAATGTTGCAGTAATTAAAGCAGAAATAATTAAATCCTGCAGATATAGTTCAGCAGCGACAATAGAGTCCAGCGGGACGAATAAAATGTAGCACTGCAGGAATAGTAATGAAAAGTTCAGCAGGGATTTGATTTGATTTGATTTATTGGGATCAAGCAGTCATTGTGTCTAGGCTGCGCGCAGGTTGGATCTAGGACATCTTTTTACGTTTGTAATGCTTCGTCGGACTGGCGTAGGGTAGCGTATTGTTGCGTATGCTTGGCGTACAATTGCTAAGGCTTGCCGTACAGCTGCGTAGGCTTGGCGTACAGTTGCGTAGTGTTGCGTAGACTTGCGTACAAATTGTGTACTTTCTGCGTAAAGTGTCTACGTCGAAGGTACGCGAAAAAAATTAAACATGTTTAATTTTTTGCGTTCATCTCGTGTACCCATTTACGTCCCTCCGCAACTGTACGCCAAGCCTACGCAACAATACGCTACCCTACGCCAGTCCAACGAAGCATTAAAAACGTATAAAGATTTTGTTTGGTATATACTTGGATGTAAACTTGACAGGTATTGATCATTATTTTGAAGGGGAATGCTGTTTTTGTTTACATGTGTGCATTCTCACATTTATTCTTTTCATGAAGAAAAAGTGTTTCTTTTTTTTGCTTGTAATTCTGTTTGTACTACTACAAGGTATGTCAGACTGACATGTTTTGTTTTGTTATGGTTTATTAAATGTGTGATGTTGATATCTCAGGCTGTTGATATAATAAACAAAGTTGAGATTCACAAACTTATGCCTCATGCGAAATGTTATTATGTTCTGTGGAAATTTGTAT